TATGGAGGAATGATGCAATTACTGTTATTCCGGCAATAGTATAGCACACATAGCTTAGGCAATAGAAACTATTAATGTGTCATGCTAGTCCAATCCCTGCACCAGAGCCAAACCATATAGCTCAAGTGTCATGACGTTTAGGCAACACGCGCAGCAGCTACGAATGCACATAAAGTGAATGACAGTTTAGTATAGGGTGTTTCAGAACTAAGGGATCAAACTTCTAGCGGTTATTCAGTGTAACAGTAGGAAACATTTGCGTATAGGGACCCATATCCGGAAAAGTGTCACTACGGCACTACGGCCCTAACACGCGTTAAAATTTAGAAAGACGATGAATTGCCTAAATAGGATTTAATGCATCTAATTTTTGCCTTTTGTACATGATATCATCACAACAATTGTTCAAAATGTCTTCCTCCAACCTGAATAAACCGATTTAATCGTCGCACATGATTTTGGCGGACAAGCCATTCTATATCTACTGAAAACAAAATAATATTGGTACCGACGAAAACACGAAAATATCATGTTTCTCTTAAGGCATCATGTAAATGTTATATAGATACACAAATAATGAATGTCGCCCCTAACTATTTTGCTATAATGCGGATTATTTTGTGCGTCGGTGTATTTAGGAGAGCCGAGAAGATTCCTTACTCGGACTGTTAATTTAAGTCTATTATGGGTACAGTTCTAGAGTCAATCGCCTTATCAGTTAAGTATTTCAAAAACTAAAAAAACTTTTTCATACGGTCAGTTTTTTTCAGAAATCTCTACAAATTATTTTCCTTTCATATAAGGTGAAATAATACAGGAAAACATAAATACGACAAAAACCACTATAATACTCCAGAAAATGAAGGTTAATTCTGTAGCTGGAAGTTTATTTTGCAACACTTTTCATACTTTTCGAGATTTTCAATCTGCAATTAAAGGAAGCAGAGTGGGAATGTCAACAACGCTATTAAAAAACTCAGCAGTCAATCAATAATTTGGACTAATTTCATGGCTATCATACTTGATTTTTTTATACTACAGCGTATCAAAGTGAGGCGTGAGAATTATATTTAAAATGTAGACTTTGGAATAATTTTCAGGTAGGTTTCTCCCGCTTTTAAAACCACTATAATACTCCAGAAAATGAAGGTTAATCGTGTAGCTGCAAATTTATTTTGCAACACGTTTCGTAGTTTTCGAGATTTTCAATCTGCAACTAAAGGAAGCAGAGTGGGAATGTCAATAACGCTATTAAAAAACTCAGCAGTCAATCAACAATTTCGTTTCATAGTTTTCGAGATTTTCAATCTGCAATTAGAGGAAGCAGAGTCTGAATGTCAATAACGCTATTAAAAAACTCAGCAGTCAATCAATAATTTGGACTAATTTCCATGGCTATCATACTTGATTTTTTTATACTACAGCGTATCAAAGTGAGACGTGAGAATTATATTTAAAATGTAGACTTTGGAATAATTTTCAGGTAGGTTTCTCCCGCTTTTAAAACCACTATAATACTCCAGAAAATGAAGGTTAATCGTGTAGCTGCAAATTTATTTTGCAACACGTTTCGTAGTTTCCGAGATTTTCAATCTGCAACTAAAGGAAGCAGAGTGGGAATGTCAATAACGCTATTAAAAAACTCAGCAGTCAATCAATAATTTGGTTTCATAGTTTTCGAGATTTTCAATCTGCAGTTAGAGGAAGTAGAGTGGAAATGTCAATAACGCTATTAGAAAACTCAGCAGTCAATCAATAATTTGGACTAATTTCCATGGCCATCATACTTGATTTCTTTATACTACCGCGTATCAAAGTGAGACGTGAGAATTATACAAGTATTTAAAATGTAGACTTTGGAATAATTTTCAGGTAGGTTTCTCCCGCTTTTAAAACCACTATAATACTCCAGAAAGTGAAGGTTAATCCTGTAGCTGCAAATTTATTTTGCAACACGTTTCGTAGTTTTCGAGATTTTCAATCTGCAACTAAAGGAAGCAGAGTGGGAATGTCAATAACGCTATTAAAAAACTCAGCAGTCAATCAATAATTTGGTTTCATAGTTTTCGAGATTTTCAATCTGCAATTAAAGGAAGCAGAGTGGGAATGTCAACAACGCTATTAAAAAACTCAGCAGTCAATCAATAATTTGGACTAATTTCCATGGCTATCATACTTGATTTTTTTATACTACAGCGTATCAAAGTGAGACGTGAGAATTATATTTAAAATGTAGACTTTGGAATAATTTTCAGGTAGGTTTCTCCCGCTTTTAAAACCACTATAATACTCCAGAAAATGAAGGTTAATCCTGTAGCTGCAAATTTATTTTGCAACACGTTTCGTAGTTTTCGAGATTTTCAATCTGCAACTAAAGGAAGCAGAGTGGGAATGTCAATAACGCTATTAAAAAACTCAGCAGTCAATCAATAATTTCGTTTCATAGTTTTCGAGATTTTCAATCTGAAATGAGAGGAAGCAGAGTCTGAATGACAATAACGCTATTAAAAAACTCAGCAGTCAATCAATGATTTGGTCTAATTTCCATGGCCATCATACTTGATTTTGTTATACTACAGCGTATCAAAGTGAGACGTGAGAATTATATTTAAAATGTAGACTTTGAAATAATTTTCAGGTAGGTTTCTCCCGCTTTTAAGTGAAAAATGATGCTGTTTTGGATAAAATGCGGACTTCTCAGTCTTTCAAAACAAACCTGGCCTAACAAGGTTGATACTTGTAGAAATTGCAACAGTACAGGCAAGCTTTTCAACAAAAAGTTTAATCGTGAAAGTGTCTAAAACCATGAGGCTTTTACTAAAACAAGATTTTGCTAGTTAATGATGTGACCTAATGGTATTTCCAGTTCATTTTCTGTGTATATTATAGAAAATATTAAGTTTCCCATTGACGCCTATCTACACGTTATAGGGACTATCTGAAGAGAATGACAATTTCGTTCGAACTTCAAGATATACAGGGTGTTCCACAATGATATGCGAATATTTAAGGGTGTGAATCTACATGAAAAATTAATGTTAGTTTGCTTTATAAACTATGGTCCAAAAACGTTTTCTCGGACGATAGAACGGTTTTTATTTTTTTTCTCAAAAATGGCGCATCGAAGGAAAACAATTCAAAAGAGATCATTTGTTTTAAATTGAACAAGAAATTCAAAAATAATTATTTGGCAAAAAACCATTAGCGTACCGTTTTTTTTCTTAAAAATGTCGAAGTCAATACCCGTATGCACGCCACTGTTAAAGCTAAAAATTATTTTTGCATTTAAAAATATGCAACTTTATTAACTTTCACTACGTACTAAATATCAGTGAAATATCTGAAGCGGTTCTGAAAATATGAATTATTTTTCATTTTTCCTAAAACTTCAACAACCCGAGTTTTTGTAAGGAAACATTTTTGGACCATTGTTTATAAAGCAAACTAACATTAATTTGTCATATAGATTCACACCCTTAAATATTCTCATATCATTAAGGAACACCCTGTATACGGGTATGTATATTTATGACCTTACGGTACTTGTGACCGAATTCACTCGGCTAAGTCTGGGGATGACTTATTAATACTGATGAGGACGAGGGGTTATGTGTTATTTAACAAAGGTATATGCGGACATGTTTAGTGGATATGCATATGATGTGTTTTATTTTATCAGGCCTCGTGAAAATGTTTATCCACCATAATCATCAGAAAAAGACTCTCAAATTGCTCTTCTGAGTTGGTTGGAAACGCGAATATCAGAGAATAATCTATCGGCTGTTGTAAGTATTAGAAACTAGATAACAGGTGTAAACACTGTATCGATCTAAATCCGAGAATAGTCATGACGTTACGTATCTACCTTGAAACTTCATGATGAATGATTAAACGGGGTAATTATTATGAACTGTTGACAGGAATAAAGGAGGCAACTCAGATGATAATTTTCCTATATAATGTGCGACACGCGTTGCTTACAAATCAATAAGTATGAGTGAATTATTAAAATTCATCCATTTTGATCATCTATCGCAACGAATTTGAAAGCATTAAGTGGTGAAATCCCGGGCCAATTCCATCTTAATATATTATTATGTAAAATAATTATTTTACGAGTAAATGTCATGACAAATGAGTACATACCAACGGTTGACAAAAATCGCCCTGTATAGGGCACTGATAGCAGCTGTCCCGTAATTTCGATCCGGAAAATTTTTTAGACGAAAAGCGAGATAACCGAGGTGTTTAATATGGAAACTGACCCAGGGGGGTCAGGAAATGGCGCTTCCACCATGGCAATGGAGATGGAGTCGAAGGAGCAGACCATAGAGGAGCTGAGAGCCGAATTGGAGATGGTTCGACAGGAGCTGTCAAAAAAGGACGATGATAAGAATACCAATGAAAGATTGATGATGATCATCGAAGCCCAGCAGCGGACAATTACCGACCTAACAGTTAAATTAGACCTCCTACTGAAAACCCAGGTACCTTCCCATCTAAATATTACAAATTCTTCCCAAACACTTCCCAAAAATCCCAGTAAAGACAAAGCTGTCAATCTTAAGAGACCGTTAAATAACTCAAGCGATTTTTCCACAGACGACGATACACTCCCTGACGGTTTTACCAAGGTTAAGCCCCGTAAAACGCGACGAAACAAGACCGACACGACAGGCTTTCCTCCTCTCCCTTCGCCAAAATCGCAGTCTGAAACATCTCATTCAACTGCAAGCGACTCGAATAAACAGCCTGTGCCTAATCTATCGGATACTTCCACGCCTTCGACATCTCAGGTACCAGAAGACACGACTGCACAGCCCCCACGCAAGGTACGTGTTACCCCCATCGTTCTTCGTGATGCTTCGAGATGGCGAGGCGTAAATCACAAGTTTATTTCCTTGGGCATCAAATTCGAACGCGCGGTTGCCGTCGATGCAGGAATCAGGATAATTCCCCAAGTCCGAGGATGATTACCGCAGGATTATTCGTCTCTTCAGGGAGGAAGAGGTGCCCCATCACACTTTCCCTCTACCCTCCGAGAGGAACATTCATGCTGTAATCAGAGGAGTACATGCGACACTTTCGGAAACTGAGATCAAGGAAGAGTTGCAACAGAGGGGATATTCCCCCCTGCACATAATTCGCCTGAAACGCGGTGGCGGCGTGCCCATGCCTTTGGTGGTAGTCATACTGCCCAAGATAGAAAAATCTCAGCAGCTGTTCAACGAACACGAGCTGCTAGGTTTGGCTATCCGAGTCGAAGTTCAAAAGAACTCAAGACTCATCGGGCAGTGTCACCGCTGCCAAAAATATGGGCATGCGCAATCTTACTGCACTGCACCACCTAAATGTCTAAAATGTGCCTCTGACCACATGACCCACTTATGCCCTCAAACAGAACAAGAGGAACGAAAGTGCGCGAACTGTGGAGGGGGGCATCCAGCGAATAGCCGAACTTGCAGATTTGCCCCTAAGAAAAATCTGCAAGTGATAGCGCAAAGGCGCAATGTAAGTTACGCGGATGCAGCTAGGGATGCAACCCGGGCTGCCCCCTCTGTGGGATCTTCTGCGAACACGCAAAATGTGGACCTGGCAACCGCGCTAAGGTCCTTACAGCAGATCATAGGTCCTCTGATTAGCGCAACACAGGCTTTGCAGGCGATCTTTCCTGCAAATGGCTAGGTACAATCGACGACAGCCTGCATTTATCAAAATTCTTTTCTGGAATTGTTTGGGTCTAAGGGACATTCCCAAAAGACGGGAATTTCATCAAGCTCTTGTGGACGAAAGTATAGATGTGGCCTTGCTGCAGGAAACATTACTTAATCCGGGAGATCGTCTAGCTTTCCCGAATTACGATGTTATCCGGGCTGATAGATTGACTGGACGGGGTGGCGGCTTGGCAGTGCTAGTGAAACGCGGTATTGACTACCACAGAAGCACAAACGCTGACATGCAGAGCATCGAAGCGGCTTCCGTGGTGGTCAATATGACGGGAGGTGTGCCGTTAAAAATCACATCGGTGTATGTCAGGTGTGGTAACAGGCTGCAAGAGGCGGATCTGGAAGTCCTTTTAGACTACTCGGGTCCACTTATTGTGGCAGGGGACTTCAACTGCAAACATCGAGCATGGCATTCCAGGTTGAATTCCACCAGTGGGATCCGACTGTACAACCATGTGATACGAAATGGCTACCTCATACATAGTACTGAGGAGCCGACGCACCACCCATTTAATCATCTTCAGGCACCTGATGTTCTTGATTTGGCATTATCCAAAAACTGTAGCTACAGCATCACTTCTCGAATCATGTATGACATCTCAAGCGATCATCTTCCCGTCGTTTTGGAAGTGGCTAATGAGCAGATCTTGGGGGATGAAATCCCTCCAAGGAAACGCATTGATTGGGAGCTATACAAGTCGCTCCTCAAAGAGTTCCCCAATATACCGATCATAGATGATGAGAACGGTATAGATGCGGCTCAAGCAGAGTGGACAAGTTTTGTTCAACAAACTCTGCAGCGTGCAGCTGTACTTCCCGTGCAGCGACACGGCAGACCTTTTCTGCCAGCAGACATTCGTCAGAAAATTTCTGATAAAAGAGCTGCAATTAAGCAAGCGAAAAGATCTTGTCATCCTGATGACATTCGCAGAGCGACGAATCTTGTTCATGAAGTAAGAAATGCTCTTCATGAATTCCGCAATGAGCAATGGAACGACTTTCTGGCGGGGATGCTTGACTCAAGCATTCCTCTCTGGAAGGTGGCGAAGTCGCTCAAAAACGGAAAGCGTGAACAAATCCCACACATTCACGGTCCTGGAGGCATTGTCTTCAGGACAGAGGAGAAGGTTGAGGTTTTCGCCGATGCCATGGAAAGACAGTTCTCTCCCAACTATGATCTTGATAATGACCTCGACGAGGAGCAACACATCGTAAGATCTGTCAGGAGATATTTTAGGGCCAACGGCGTCAGTGACAGTCGCGCATTCGTTGGTGATTTTTCTTCATCAGAAGATTCTTCTTCAGAAGCTTCTTCAACCGAAAATTTGCTTAGCACATCAGCGGTATCTCCTGAGATCCCGCATTGCACACCAGCAGAGATTCAAGGTCATATTAAAGACCTTAAAGTGCGTAAAGCACCTGGGGAGGATCAAATCACTAATAAGGCGCTGAAGCTGCTTTCGCGGAAGTCCTTAACTTATCTCGTGGCAATAGTCAATGCCATGCTCAGGATCCAGTACTTCCCATCCGCGTGGAAGACCGCTGAAGTTATAATGATTCCAAAGAAGGTGGGTTCGATATTTCCCCAGGATTATCGTCCCATTAGCCTGCTGTCAGCTGCGTCTAAGCTCGCTGAAAAGGTGATTCTACGTCACCTTGAGAATTTCTCGTCAGATCACCATGTGATTCCTGACGTGCAATTCGGTTTTCGGTCTGAACATAGTACGGAGCTACAGGCGGTTAGGCTGGTGGAACGTGTAACCAGAGGATTCACCCTTAACGAAAGTACTGGCATCTTGCTTTTGGATGTCTCAAAAGCATTTGACAAGGTGTGGCACGCGGGCCTCTTGTATAAACTAATCCAAAAGGGCTTCCCTTTTTGGCTTCTAAAACTACTGAAATCCTTCCTTGAAGGTAGGAAGTTTCGGATCAAAATTGACAATGTACTGTCGACAACACGGCTGATTACAGCCGGCGTCCCTCAGGGTTCGGTCCTTGGACCTATCCTTTACTCACTGTACATCCATGACGTCCCTAGTCCCAGCAACTGTGAAGTCTATCTCTATGCTGACGATACTGCATTGGTGGCTCAGTCGTGGTCTGGTGACCTAGTCCATGACAGGCGGCAAAGTGCGGTGGAAGAAGTATTAGATTGGGCGGATCGGTGGCTAATTAAAATAAACCATTCGAAAACGCAGGCAATCTACTGTACAAAAAGACGTCGCGGCGTTCCGTCTGAAGTTTCAATGAATGGACTTCGTATACCATGGGAATCCTCCGCTAAGTATCGCGGTGTCATTCTGGACAAAGGGATGACTTGGCGGAACCATATGGAAGCGCTAAAAACTAAATTCCAAATTACGTTTCGGCAGCTTTACCCATTATTATGTAAACGGTCAAAATTAAGTTTGATTAACAAGATTCGACTCTATAAGGTGGTCATAAGACCAGCAATGACATACGCATGTGCGGCTTGGTGTTTTATTGCTAAAACACACATGCAAAGTCTGCAGGTTCTGCAAAGCAGGACGTTGCGCACTATTGCTGATGCTCCATGGTATGTCTCTAACGAAACTCTACATAGAGATCTCTAAAGGACTACATTAAGCAACAGGCGCAGCGGCGGTATAGCCTAGCGGAATCGCACAGCAACCCTCTGTTGCGTGATTCAGTAGACTACACAGTCGAGCAAGTTCGCAAGCACAAAAGGCCGCGGCTCGCACTGTAATCAAAATTAACTCGTGAACTTAGAACAACCAAAATTTGAGCATTTTTACACAATCTTTAGAAAAAATCAAATATTTTTAGCCATATCAAAATCTGTGAAGCGATTTTAACAATGCCTAAACGCTGCATATCCTAAAAGATTCTCTTCTTCCCCTTTGCTCTCGTTCTTCCTTCTCTCCTTTCCTTCCCCTTTTTTCCTTAAAATTGTCTGGTTTCTGGGTTACCAGACCTGACAGACTTACAAACTGACACTGTGACTCAAGAGCTAAGGTCCCACGGACCGCTCTGACAACCAACGATGACTTGACTTGACCAACGGTTGACAGGTCATGAGACAAAATAAAAAAATGTGATTACTTGTACATACAGGGTGGGCAATAAGAGTGTTGATGATTTAAATCTTAAATTTCTCGGAAACAATAAATCGGTTATTACCGCACGACATTTGTATCGACATGAATACGGTTTACGCGATTTAAGATAAGTTACAAGCGCCAATGTGATACGGAAATGGATCAGAATGTTCGAAACAACCGGCTCGGCAGTAGCAATAACAGTTCGTGGTCGTCCAGTTTCGGCAAGATCAGCCGACAATATAGAGCGTGTTCGTGTTTCAGTTCAGCAAAATCCGCAACAGTCATCGCGTAAGAGAAGTCAGGCTTTGGACATCAAAAGAATGAGCTTGCGGCGAATTTGGAAGCGTGATTTGCATTTGAAGGCTTATAAGATTCAACTAGTCCAAGAATTAAAACCAGATGATGCCAATAATCGATTTAACTTTGTCAATTTGATGCTCGACCGATTCAACAGTTTTAACAACATGATGTTTAGTGATGAGGCCAATTTTCAACTCAATGGCCATGTTAACAAAAAAAATTGTCAGTTCTGGTCCGACGCTTGCATGAACGTCCACTTCACAACCCTAAACTAGTGGTGTGAGCTGGAATTACGTCAACCGGCATTATTGGACCGTACTTTTTTGAAGACGAAAGAGGGCAAGCGATGACAGTTAAAGCTAACAATTATTGCAATATGATAATCGACATTTTGGTGCCAGCTTTGCAAGAACTCTAAGGCCGTACCTCTAGAATGTGGTTTCAACAAGAACAAGATGGGGCCACATGTCATACAGCTAGGGTATCTATAGAGTTATGTCTTTCCCGGAAAACTCATTTCGAAAAGGAAGGATATTGAATGGCCACCACGTAGCCCCGATCTTTCTTCATGCGATTATTTCCTATGGGGCTACCTCAAATCGGTGGTCTACGGGAATAACCCAACTAATTTAGCGCAGCTGAAGAGGAATATTGTTCAGGAAAGTAACAAAATACCGAGAAAACCTTTTAACGAGTTTTCCAAAATCTGCAGCTTCGGTCATTTTTAACTCTTAAAAATTTCTATATTTCTACTTTTTAAAAATACATTTACTTTTCTTTCTTTTATTAATGGAATATTAAAGTTGCCAACACCTTTATGGCCCACCGTGTATTAGAAACTTAGAACAACTGAGTTTATTTTTTGTGATGTATCTGGAACGCGTTCAGTTACCTTACATCCTAACACGACATCTGCTTATCTATCAACTTTCTTGCTAAATATTCGGAAAACTCGTTCGAAGACAACCTTCAAATTTTGCAGTAACGTTTCATACTGTTCTTTAAGAACTTTAATGATTGTTTCTCTTTATAAAATGAAGTAATGTGGGAAAACATAAATACAACAAGAACCATGGATTTATCAATTTCGGAGCCAAATAGATTTTGGAATCTTCAAACATCCGAAAGTGTACGAAAGTTAGTTATATTTAGTCAACTCTTAAGTAATTTTAATGTAAAGACGAATAATCGAATTGTTATCCTATTTTTCCAATTTGTTTTCAATGACTTAAAATTATTCGTTTTAAATAAAAATAACTTTCTCACATCCACAGAAATATCCACAGGGCCTTTACAGATTTTCTTATCTCAATTAGCTTTTTTAAAATTCGTGTTAAAAAATTCGTTAACCCCTTCACATCCAGGTGCAATTTAAAAAGGCACTTTCACATACCAGACGAAAAAAAAATCGAAAATGAAATATTAAGATTACATAATGACATACATCTTTAACCACAGTTAAAATATTTCATGAAAATCAAAAACAACATGGCGACAGTGATTCATATTTTATGACTATACCAGTATATCCACCATTTGGATAATAGTGGCATACCATAATATCCATATTTGGATATCCATGTAAAAATAAATCAAAGTCACATTTTTTGAACATAAGTGCTTTATTCATATTTTTTACATAAAATAAACTAGTAGAACGTAACATTGGTAAACCGCTTAAAATATAAAGTTCATTTGTGGTATTCTTGAAAATGTTCCGGACAACAAAGCCCTGGTTTATTTGGACACTCAATGCAAATATTTCGTGTTAGTTTCCTTTGGTTGTGTTTTCGGCAAATAACGCAAATCTTTCGCAATGCCCGTTTTTTCCATCTTCCTTTGGTAAATTAACCACAACGTGTTCTTTTTGTGTTTTTTTTTGAAGTTGAAGGTTGATTATAACATGAAGAAGCATCCGTCATGCAGCGATATCCTTCACTGTATTTGTGCAAAATACCATTACAGCACAGTTTTATATAGTTATACATCGAAATGTTGAAATCATCTTTAGCGTTACAGAATAAAACCTTAGAATTTAGAAGCATCTGAAGCATTAATTGAAAGCCCACTTTTGTAAACCAAGTATAGCTTTTTCGTAAAGAATTGTAAGGTTCCAGATCTTGATCGACAGCGTCAACAGAGCCCATATTTTGATTACAAAATTCAATGTGGGCAGGTTTTTTAAAATGCACTTGTTTACCGCCTACCATATAGCGAGATTTTTCAAAAAACCCTGCACTATGCTTACTTGTCAACAAGTAAACATCCTTCTTGTCCTTATATCGTACAAGCAGTTGCATGTCTTTCCGTACGAAGCAGGATTGGTACCTTTCTAGTGGAATTCTAGTTAACTGAGCGGGAACTCCACGATTGCTTCTTATAGTTCCAGTCAAATAGGTTCCTTGGGTAAGTAAAAATTGCGAAAGCCGCACGGATGTATACCAATTGTCTAGAATAACTTCTCGGCCAATGTTCAGTATATTTTGAGCTAAATGCACGACAATTCTTTCAGAAACAGTGAGGTTTCCGGTGCCTGGAATATGGGATACATCGAAGTTGTCTTTCCCTACGTACAAACAAAAGTTCCAAGTATATCCGCGCAAATGTGGAGCGCTTGGGCATATTGCAAAAAGTTTTATGCCAAATCGATTTCTTTTTGTTTTAATATATTGACGAAAGTGCAATCTGCCTTTATAAAGCATCAAATGTTCATCTATTGCAAACACTGGTCCAGGGTCAACCAACGTCTTGCAGTTGTCTTTGAGCATGGACATATAAATTCCAAGTCGGCTTAGAGGGGCATTGTTTCTTGCTGCTTCGGGTGGGGAAAACCGAATAAACTTGAGTATAGAAAGATACCTGTTTCGACTCATAATAGACTTATTGAAAACTTTTGGACCAGCGCACAAAATGTTATTACTCCAGTAATCTGTTATGCGAGGGCACTTTACTAATCCAGTAAGAATATGAAGCGCGATGAAAACGTACATCTCTTCTTTTTCTAGTTTCTTCCACTGAACGCCATAAACTCTCCTTGTATTTGTATTATGTTCAAAGTACATTTCAGCTCTTCTGTTCGTCCACTCACTTAATTTCGCTACGATATTTGGGCTTAAAAAACATTCGAAACAATTGACTGGATCTCTGCACTCTTCCATATCAATGGCGGGGTGAAAAGTATATTCAGAAGAAAAATTTTGCGTAGCTCTAGGAACCTGATCGGAAAAAGGATCACTTAAAACTTGCCATTCGTCCATGGTCACGTTTTCGACAAGTTCATCGTCATCGGTCTCCGAATATGTTTCGTCAGAGTCACTCATATCCGAATTATCACTTAACTCATACTCCGAATCGTCATCACTATCTGCATAATAGTCCTGGACATTCATTTTTGATAAATAAAACTTTTACATCCAAACAACACTGAGAAACACGATAAAACAGACTTTCCCGCCAAAACGTAATTTAGAGGCATACACGACCGCGTACCAGCGTGACTACTTATGTACTACCAGTAAAAATATTTCTGTGGAAATATTTTGGATATTGAAGAAATTTGGGTGGGGATGGCTTGTATGCCATACCAGTCGGTCTAATTGATAGCAGCTCGCCATACCAGTTCCCTGCTCCATAACATAAGACATTAACAATGATATCCATATGTAGATATTATGGTATCCAGAGAGCATATTCAAAATATCCATATGTGGAGTACTGGATGTGAAGGGGTTAAAATAAACATTTTTGCTCTGGCGCAACTCTTCTATACTCGTAGTTGTAAAAATTGCTAATTAAATACTATGAATTTAGCACACACTAGATTTACCTTTTACTCTCCCAATTGAAGGATTTATCTCTCCTTCCGTATATGTATAGAATGCAGCTTCCCATCCTCTTAGTTGGATCTGTTTATTTCCTGTTTGATTTTTATCAGTCTTTCTTTTTATTCTAGCCTTCACATTGTTTAACTTTTTCCATATCTGTACTTAACTCATTTCTATTCACAATTGGTCTGCAAGTCTACCGTTTATCTCCTCGATTGCATTCGTATTTTTTCTTTTAATCTCGGGTAAGTTAGACTTTTCCAAAAGTACGGGAAATTTTTCAATAATACTAACAAAACTTAACATTTCACAAGTTTTCCCGTTGGCGTTGGTATCCTCTTCTGTATCCATTGTTGTAAAATATATTCACTGATAGGACCTAGGACAATCGCACTAAATATCGCGATGCGGCACGCACATTATAAAAAACCTGTCGAAACTCGCAAATATCCACAGCGCCAGCGGTATTATTTGGACCACGTACTCACAAGGCCGAACCAGGTGCTACATTTTTACATCAAAATTTTATTAATACCAAATGTAAGTACATGCTCATTTTTTAAGCATCTACCCAATTTCTTCTTAAGCACGTACTAAGAGCATGTACTCACGTTTTATTAATACCACCCAATGTCTGCATATCACATGCACACGTATTCATGCGCTAGAGCTTGTGACGTCTACTTCTTTCCTTTGTATCCCCTATAGCTCTACTTTGGGTATTTAGGCGTGCGTGATAGCTCAAGTAAAGAAAACATTCCTCCTATAAGGATACTCAACTAAACTAGGTCATAATCTACAGATCAACTGGAAAGACAATGGTTTTATACAATCTGATCTTTTTACCATGCTTTTGTAATTGTTATCCTCTTTGTACGACTTCGTTCATTTTAATGGGTCATTCAAATTGGGTTTCCACATTAGAATTATTTAAAAAAAAGAAGAAATTGAAAATTATAACAAAATATGTATTTGTCCTTTCAGGGTAGTTCATTGCAATTATGCATGACAGATGATATGACGTAATCCGTTTCGAGAAAGTTTCGACTACCCTGTATCACAAATCAGGTCTTATGTTGGTAATTTCACGTCTGATCTCCTGTTCCAGCTCCGCAATTGTGTTCGGGTTATTCTTGTAGACTTTGCTTTTGAGATACCTCCAACGAAAATAATCTAAGAGAGTTAAATCACAGGATCGCGGCGGCCAATTGATATCGCCGTTACGTGAATTAACGCGACCTAGAAACTTGCCGCGCAGTAATTGTATCGTTCTTCCTGATGTGTGACCTAGGCTTCAATCCCTGTGGTATAACTTCAAATCTTTAGTTAAAATCCGCTGTGTAGTGGAATAGGTAAGGTCCAGTTGCTGCGATCGATGACAAATCGATGTTCTTGGATTTTCGGCCACACTTTCGGCAACAATAGCAATATTGTGTTCCGACCAACCTCTACGAGCATGTCTAGGAGAGTTGATGATGGCGATGGATCCAGTTTGCTCGAATTTTTGCAACAAATTCCAAATTGTTCTCTCACAAGGCCGATTTTGTGCGCCAAAAAATTCACGTAAAGCACGAAATGTATTCTTCCTTGATCGGCTGCTTTCATTATAGGCTTGGATAACTTTAACACGTTGTTCGGTTGAATATTGATCCGTGACTGTTTAGTTTATATTTTGACGTTAGAAATGGCACGTTGTCGTTGACAAATTCAGTGACGTTTAAAAAAAAATTATTTGTAATGTGGAAACTCAATTTGAATTACCCATTATAAAATGCTATGTTTTCCATACATATTCGCCGCGTGCTAATTTTGAAGTTTAACATATATTGTCAATGTTATTTTTAGTTTGCACTATGGGAAATGACCTCTATATAAGTGGTTACATTTGTTTTATCAGCATGAAATCTCAAAATAAGTTACAAAGGCTACAAGATTTTTTTTCTTTGTAGCAAATGCGGTATCTCGGTATTTAGGTTAGTGTTTTCGTGGCACATTTCAAGTCGGATCGTGCACGTTCAATGTATTACCCAGATACACCAGCCCTACAGCACACAGCGAGAAAAGAAGCCCTGCTAGTGTCACTGAGAAAGCGAATTGACTGGGATTTTTCTGGTACAAAAGCCCGGGGTTTTCTGGCAACTCGCGTAAAGATGCAACATCTGAACAGATCGATAGTCTTTTGTCCGTCTCAGCGCTTTGAGCGCTTGGATATATAGAATAGAGGCCAAAGCGGAGTGAATAATGTAGTGTCAGTGCCTATGAGAGTCTGAATAGTTAGAAGCTTTAGGTGAGTGTTAACCGTTTTTTTTGTTTTTACTTATAAAAGCATAATGGTCACGCAGATCCGAGAAACGTATTTTGAAAAAAGGTGGACGTGCGCAAGTATAATTGTACTCTGCTTTCACCATAAATGATAATATCGTCATAATATGTGTGGCGTGTTGGGCCTGTCGGCCGGCTACTTCAACTCAATTAAAATATTTTGGTCTATGTATTGTGATGTTTTTTAAGTTCAATAATATTGAACATAATTAATTTTGTAATTTATATTGGTCGACCTATATCGGCAGATGGGTATGATTCACATTATCGGCAAAATAGGCCGATATTGCCGATACGCCGATATACATACCGGTATCGGTCGATTCCCAGTGATAACAGGTGCTATGAAGGGCCGCTTGAATTCATCAAGTTTGCATGGATGACCTCAAGCACTCGTGAAGTCTACAAAATTGGCTGTGAAAATTGGAAATGGCTTTCAAGACAAATGATGAAGGTAGGATTTGATACAAATTCCGTAGGTATCTTAAATAAAATTATTTGATTATTCAAGAACATAATATTGGCATGTGTGTGCTCTTTCCATACAGGTGTGCTGTTTTTTATCTCATCGTCGAGACTCCAAAAAACCTCGTCAAAATGTGACCCAGGCACGTAAATGTCAAATAATGTAAACAAGATAAAAATGCCAGGATTGAGACTATATTGATTTGTATTAAAAAAATAAACAAGATTTTGTATAGGTTGTAGCTATTTAGTACCCAATTTAGAAAGAACGAAACGATGGATTTTTGCGTAAAGCGACTACAGACACTGTGCTAAGTACATATCACAAATGGTGATATGTATCTGGAGCGAAAGAATAAAAATCAAAAATGCATTTTTTTATATGTAAAAAATACCCCACTACTTGGAACTAATTCCATGCTGTCCGCATAGCAAGACTCAAGGCTTATTATTCGAGCAGCCGCTTTCACATTTCTTATCCGTCTCGCCTCTTTTGATAGCATTATTATACGCTCAGCTGATTGATAAGAAGCATATTCGTCCAAATGTCCCCAAAGGAAAAATTTAGGCATGGTTAAATCCGGTGAAATCGAACGCTATGTTAAATTAGCTTTCCGCCAAATGATAAGGTCCTTAAAAAGTACCTTAGCAGAGCCGCTGACTATTTACTTGCAGTGTGTGGTGTGGTTTCAAATTATTAAACCTTTCGGATTGAATAGTTTTCCAAACATCCTTTAAAAAAATGTTGCAGCATTATTCGATTGTGCACACCAGTAACGAAAACTGGTCCTTCTTGCAAATCTTCACGTAAACGTCCCACCCGCCAGTACTGTGCATAGTTTTCTAGCACAACGAAGGTTTAATATTGATATTTGTTGCCAAAAGTTTGGAATGAGAAAGTGTATTCTTGGTATTCAGTATTCGCGATACTTAAATTGAAATTGCGACGATATATCAGTTCATGCGGTTTTTAGTAGAAAAATATAAATTTTCATTAAGAAACAATACTTTATTCGTCGGAGTAATTATCACCACATTCAATGACCTTTTGCCAATGTGGAACCAATTTTTGTATGCCGGTATTGTAGGACTCCCTGGATTTGAAGTAAAAAAATTGGCAGACTGCATTTATTACATCATCTCGAGTTGTGAACTGTCGGTGCGTCATACAGCAAGAGACAAAATAAGGTGATAATCAGTGGGCGAAATGTTGGGAGAATATGGCGGATGCGGTAATGTTTGCCAGCCGAGTTCAGAAATTTTTTCTCGGATCGCTTATGCGATATGAGGCTTGGCGTTATCCTGCAAGAATATCACTTTCTCCCGATTGATCAAAGAGGGATGTTTCTGGATGACTGCTGCTTGTACTCGTTGAAGCTGCTCGCAATACAAGTTAGCAGTGATGGTTTGACCCCTTTCCAAAAACTCATAACGGACAATTCCAATTGCTGTCCACCAAACACACAACAAAACCTTGTTGGGTGCAAGGAAGCCTCGGGCGTGTGTAGTACCGAATCAGTAGGGGACAACCAATGATACAAACACTTAGAATTCGAATACAAGATCCATGTTTCGTCGCAGGTTAGCAACCGATTAAGAAATGGTTCATTAGCGTTGCATGAAATGTTTGCTGAATAAATGGTAAGACGACTTAATTTGTTATCATTTGTCAGTTCATGTGGGACCCATTTCCTTAACTTCCACGTCTTTCCTAGCTGATGAAGGTGCAAACGAATAGTTTCAGGACTCACTATGAACATTTCTGCAAGTTCTTGGCACGTTGTCCTGGAATTTGTGTCCACAACCTGTCGAAGATCCTTGTTGTTCATAATTTTTGGTCTCCCTGAGCACGATTCATCGTTCAAACTGAGATCTCCCGAAGAAAATTTTTTGAACCACTTCTGTGCTATTCGATGGCTAACGGCATCATCTCCGAATGCGGTACATATTTTTCGTGCCGCCGCTCCAGTTTTTGTACCAAGTTTGTTCTCATACAGTAAACAACTTCGAATTACTGTTTTATTCGTCGCCATTTTCACTTATTAAAACTAGGTATGTAACAATTTTCAGCAACTTTTTATGTGTGTGAGAAGAGAAGGATTCATACTAAAGTGACAACAGGTAACAAACAATCGCTATCGATCAACAACATCCATGGCAATGTGCGGTATACAGCAACCACACGAACTTATTTGGTTACCTGATACACGCGGAGGTATATCATCAGATGGTGGACTTAAATCGAAATGAATAGCGCTCATTTTAATTATTTGTTCCATGATATATCGATAAGTATCAAATTCCTCAACCATTCTCTACTAAATCCTAAGAAGTACACATCAACAAATTTTGAAAAACCATAACGTTCATTATTAGCTCTTCTATATAGCCACCTTATTATGTACGAAGATTGCAAAATATGTTTGATATAAACACAAGAACCATAAACCACGTAACAATTTAAAATATCCATCGCATATCTGCGATTATAAGCGCTGCTTCTTCACAAGGCAATAATGACCCAATCTGATCATTTCCTCAAGATCCAGCTTGGACTAAAGCCAGTGGATAACCATTATTAACTAAAGTATGTATGGTATAAAAAGCATTGGAGAATTCAATATATCCCTTCATCTTTTTCTAGACACGATGAGCAGGCATGAAAGAGAACGAAAAGAAGTCGGTAAATCATTTCGGGGTCACCGCTTTAGTAACTTTTGCCAAAAGTCATCATCCTGATTGGCTCCGTGCGATGTTTGGCTGTTATCTGTTGAAGGTGATTCAAAATGCTTTGGACAAAGACCGCGATTACAATTTTTGGAATATTCCGATATGAATTATTATTATGACTCGGCATAAGCTTGAGCCATATTTTACCAAAATCGATTACCGCGAGAGTAAAAACAGCAAGCTGTCTGCTGGAACTGTATCTCAGTTCGCATTGTAAGCAGGGTCACTACTGTGGCCGCTAGATGCTGCCGATTCTGGTGCTGTAGTAAATACGATATACTCACCTTTGATCAAACTAGCTCATCCGACCACGGACAAACAACTATGGACAGCTGTTTCGTGCTATTTGTCATCTCTTCAGCATGATGCCCCGGCTGAAAATGTGAACTGCAATACAGTTCCAACACACAGCCTCTTGTTTTCGCTCTCGCAGTGGTCGATACTGGTAAAAAAATTCATTTCGTGATGTCTTATTCCGATAAACCTTATACTCTGGATAGAGAATATCT